CTTGTTCAGCGATGTCTATTTTCTTTCGGCGCCCGTCTGAATGTAGGCAAGCAAACTTGGAATGCCTTCTCGCAGGACATCGCGATGCCCGTCATTGAGCGACTCTTTGCTGCTTTGATTCGCAGATTTGGTCCGCGTATGACTTCTGTGGAGCAAGCGGTCTTCCATACAACTGGGTGCCAACGTGCTGTTCTTGTGGAGTTAGAAGAGATTGGCCGTCTGTTTGCAAGAAAAGATTCTGTTTCTTCAGTGTTGCGAGAAGCTATGCCCAAAGCCATGTATTGGCTAGGCACAAGCATGATGACTAACCATCTTGTGCAGCATTTGTGGCCAGCTGCCTTAGGCGGTCCTTTACCTGATGATGTGCCCATGTATGTGAATGATGCTTGCTTCCTTGCGTCGGTGCAATTCATTCAGAAACGCTACCTCTATGGCCAGGCTGTTCTTGCAGTTTCAGCGAAGGAACAGATTTGGAACCCACGCAGCGACTCTCTCGATTCGTCAGATCTCTTGCCACTGTTGCTTCGCATTCTTTGTGGCGCGCCTAGTGCCTTCATCACTGCTGATCACATTTTTTGCGCAGACCTGGCGCTCAAACGCTCACTTGAAAGAGGTGGCGATGCTGGTGCGAAGCTTGCTGAATTGAAGATTGCAACCATTTGGCAGCACCTCAAAGACCTCGGTATTGGAGAAATTTGTGCCACTGGAGTTGCAGGCTACATGCAAAAGTATCACATCCAATCTTTGAGCCAGCGTTGTCTGACTTGGCTTCGAAATCACCGGGTTCCTCTATCCCATTTTGGATTGCGGACAACAGTCGATCACGATGCGTTTCTCGGAAGGTTCCCTGGCCATTCTGACATCAATGTTGCCTTTCCGCCTCGTGACCATCCACAGACACCCAACGCTGCAGCCGAGGAAGCCAAGACAGCAACAGATGTTTCTTCGGAGCCTCCTACAGCTGCCCTTCCGAAAACGAAACCGAGCCGAAAGCAGAGCAAGGATCAGTTAGTGTGGGAAGACGTGGCACGGGTGGATTTGGGGACTCCCTTGCTGTCAAACAAAGACCTTCTGCATCATCTGCGGCACAGAGGCGAATGGAGTACATGCCGCGTCTCTGTCCGCATTGCTTGGCAGAATAAGCAACGAGTCCAAGCTGAAGTCCGGTGCTTAGAGAGTGCTGCGTGCCCGTGCCGCTGGCGCGCGCACTATATACTAGCTGCAGCTATCTACCAGCCAGGCACGCTCATTCTACAATGCAGTGGTGCTCATTCTGGACATGAGGCATGTCTTGCTGCTACTGGGAAAGTCTTTAATGCAAAACAGGAAACTCTGGCAGTGCAATTCTTTGATAAAGGTGGGCGCACTGGCAAAAACTTACGGGCTGCGCTGCTAGCTGGTGGCTGTGCTGAATCGTCTTTGCCCACCAACACGCAGCTCTCCAACTGGCTGAAGAACATGAGGAAACGCAGAAAGCCGGCTTTGGATTGCGACCTACACATCGTCGAAGCTGTTCAGTTGGAAGTCAACAAGCTACCCCAGAGCCCGCCCAAGCAATTAGATTCAATGTTTCTATTGGAACAGCCACTCATCAGCGATTCGGAAGTGTGCGTTCTCTTTGCGTGCCCGGGTATGCTGGAAGCCCTCGGCCGCTACGACGGTCCTGATGTTGCTCTTGCGGTCGACACCAAGATGAAAGTACTTGACCGGGGTATGGGCGTGGCTACTTTGAGCTTGCTTGTGAAAGACGCTTTGCGACCAACCCATTTGCCGAGAGGCCCTGGTGGTTGTCGCACCCAAAGCCGCGCTTGGACTTCACATGGACTGCCCATAGTGCAAGCCGTGTTTCACGCCGAAACAAAGCCGAACTATATCCGCCTTTTCCAGAAGATCTGTGACCTATGGGCTTCTCGACAACCACGCCGCTCGCCGCTCCAAGAACAACTAACGCTCCAAATTCACAAAGATTTCCACCCCAGCATTGAGGAGGCTCGACTGCAAGTGCTACCGCTCTCGCGAGCGTGTGATGATTTTTTCCACCTGAAGCAAAAATCTTTGACTACTATGCAAGCCAAATGCAAGCAAGTGATTCATCGCAAAGGAAAATACATCAAAAAGAACCTCGGGTTTGCTTTGGATACACTTGAGATTCTGCGGCTGGTGCCTACCTTGCCTCTCTTTAGCTGGCTGTGGAAAGCTTTCCTAGCCACGCTCGGTAGCCTTGGCGAGCCAGAGTTAGCCAACTACCTCAAGAGTTACGAACGTGTTCTTCCGGCACAATTTGCTTGCCAAATGTTGCCAGATGACATTGTCTACGTCAGCTTCTGGATTGGCTTTGACGGCATCATCTCCGGTTCTGGTAGCGGCAGCGAGCCCGCAGAAGCTTTGCATTCATCTTGGCAACGCGAGCTCAGTCAGCTCGGCGGGCGTGGCAACATCAACCATGGCTTGCAAGTCTTGCAGCAGCTCTACACGCAACATTGGAAAGATTGGTACAAATGGGGTGACTCTTCATCTTTGTCTTTTGCGCCAGTAAGTCAAGATCCGCAGCTCATCAATGGCACAGCTTTGGTTCGTGCTGGACGTACACCCGCTGCCCATTTGAACAAGTTGCCTCGTGATACCTTGTACATCCTGCACCCATGCGCCAATCTTTCTTGGGTCGCATTTGCAAGCGCTGCCAGAACATCCCCGCTGAACTGCGCCGTTGCGCGCAAAGTTCTCCATGTCCTTCTACACCCTGAAACCTTGACTGCGCACAGTTTGCCAGACCTCTTCGCTGCTGATGGAACCCTTTCCCTGGAGTCTTTGCGGTTCCATTTTGAAAGCATCGTGTATCTCAAAATCAAATCAACTTCGATACTATGTTCTTGCCTGGCAGCCGCCATGCATGCACAATGCGAACATTCAACATTTCTTCGTAGTTGCAGCCTTCCCAACTTTTCGTCTCCGGCTTTGAATCTTTCGACAGTGCCAGCCAACAAGAAAGGTGGGCGAAAGAAAGCTTCCAACCTTCCCCCGCGCAAACGCCGCCGCGTTTCTTCCTGATGCCACAAACAAAACTTTCTTGCTGCCATGGAAAAAGGTGAGACATCAAACATTATCTAACGCAGCTCTTTCGTTTCTTTGGTCATTAAACGTTAAACTTTGCATTTTTCATACTGGCTGTGCTTTACCGATTCTGCTCGTCGATTCGACACTTCTTCGCAGTGCGTAGCCATACTGTACGATCTGTCACCGCTGCCAGGTCTTTCTCGCCTACCGCGTCGGGGCGGGGTGCGGCGCCCAACTAACTATACGCACGGTTTTTCTTCTCCCGTTAGCGCCCGCCTTGCCGTGGCGGAGAAGCTCAGTACCGCGCAACTGCGCGGGAAGCTAAGCGGCGCTTGTCGGCCTGCAGCTGCATCTGCTAGTGCTTGGTCTCTTGTATAGCTGTATGTCGCGATTGCCGGTTGCCATTGCCGGTCGTTGCAGCGGCTAGATGCCTCGGTGCTGCTGCTGCTGCTGCTGGTGCCTGCTGCTGCTGCTGCGGCTGCTGCTGCTGCTGCTGCTGCTGTGCTCTGTTGCTGCTACCGCTGCGGCTGATGCCGGTGCTGCCGCCGCTGCTGCTGCATTACTGCTACCGCTGCCGCTGATGCCGCTCCTGCCGCTGCTGCTGGTGCTGCTGCTGCTGCTGCTGCTGCTGTGACCGGTCCGCGTGCTGCCTTTGCTGCTGCGTTGCTGCTTGCAAGGCAACAACAGCTGTCGCAAAAAACACCCCTCACGGCTGCAAAAAACACCGCCGTCGCAAAAAACACCTCGAGACGTACGCTCCGACGAGTTGTGGGCTGACCACTGTTGCAAAAAACACCGCTCACTGATGCAAAAAACACCGCCGTCGCAAAAAACACCTCGCGTACGCTCCGACGATTTGTGGGCTGCCCACTGTCGCAAAAAACACCGCTCACTGACGCAAAAAACACCACCGTAGCAAACAACACCGTGCAGACGTCCACAAAAACACCGGTTCCGGGCTCACCGTGTGAAAAAAACACCCGTGGAACTGTTGCAATAAACACCTTCCCCAGAGCTGTCGCAAAAAACCCTGAAACAAAGTACTGTCGCAGAAAACCCTGATTACTGACGCAATTTACCCGAAGCCCGTTTGGTCAGTCCCAGTAAACCTGCTTTGAGCCGTCGGCAAACAAACACATCATTCCTTTAGAGAAAGGGCTTTCCCAGACACTCCATGGGACTTCCATATATGCCTACATTGGGGTGGTTGACTGGGGGTCAATGGGGCAGCATATATGATATATATGGCAGTCCCATGGAGAGTCTGGGTTTATACTAACCAGCATCATCCGGCCCTGGTGTTTGGGAGATACCCCAATTATGACATTTGATTCATCCAGTCATGGTGGTTGTGACACTGACACATTCCATACATGGATGGTCGGGGCTTCTACCAAACATGCAGGACTCGGTGTTTGGACACGTGCATGTGAGGCGCTTGAGGCTGGTGAATAGATATTGTGGATGGTGGAAAACGATGTTGACGACAGTCCTCAATGATTGAGAAGGTAGATTAATTTTGAGACATCCTGGCGGCATCTTGGGGGACTCCTCACAGACTCCGGCATGAGAAGTAGATGAACATTCCTCCAAATGAGGGGGAACTGCCCATCAGTTGGAGACGGACCTACACAATCCTGCATAGTATGTTGTTTGTTAAATTCCATGCTCGGATTGTATTTGTGCTGCTCCGAAGGCACCAATCCAGCTCACATGGTAAGCAATTTGCGATGTTTTTTTAGGTACATCATCTCCCCTCCGCTCTCTCCTGATTCACCAGTCCCACACGGGATGTATTTTCGCTCAGCACACGGACATCGGGGCAGTTTTTGGACAATTGCGGGACTCCCAACAGGAAAATAACGGAACCATCTTCTACAGAAGGGAAGGGCAAAAAGAACCAATGACCAAACCAAACCGCCCAAACGTTAAAAAAGATGCCTCAGGAGGTATCTACTGCTTCCATCGGGTGGCGCCGGAGCGCAAGTGCCACCATCATTTGGCATGCCGGGCCATGGAATCAGGCAGATCAGGGGTTGCCGTTTTTCGGCGACGGCGACGTGGCGAAATTCCGCGTACGGCGTTACGGTGTTGGAACGTTTTATCGTTTTGTTCCTAGCCTTTCGTTGCTGAAGAACCCGTTGGTTTTCGAAGGGCGATAGAGTACAAATGACAAGCACACTGCGTACAGTAGACATTTTGTGTGTACACATCGAACTACTATTGAGGAGAATGGTGACATGTGGTTTTCACATATACAATTATATCATATGATAGGTTCCGTTTTCTGGCTCATATCTTAACAACATGGAGTACTTTCATGCTATAGAAGGACATTATTATATAGTTTTATTCCTACAACATCCTACAACAACAGTCGATCAAGCCTCACTATGTTGCAATTAGGTCGACATGAAATTGACAAACATTTGCTTTCCAGGCAATCCATCTCCCCAAGATGCAGAAAGAGTACCCAAGGGCCCAAAAGCATTGACATCGACAATATCCAAGTACCTTTTGGTGGATTTCAGATGATGAAGCGTCAAAAATGCAAGGTTGCACCGTTCCCGGGTGTTCCCTGCCACAGACAGCGAATGTGCCCTGGTCAACAATTGGGTTTTACTTTTGTTCCCACCCGGCAGTATTTGGGTATAGCTAGAGTTTAGAGACAAACCCATGCCATCCTATCGTGACCTTTGCTGGGCACCCAGTGGAGTGACCAGCACGACAGCAGACAGCAGACAATGTCACATACAACGCACGATACCACACCATGACAATACCAAACATAAGCACCATACCTTCCGCGTTTGCCTGGGGGGGTCCGGGTCCGACCAGTGGAGATAACAGCGGAGAAGACACAAGACGAGAAACACGACAAGAGACAACAGACAATGCCTGTCAAGACACAATAGGTCTACGTATTTGCAATCATTAAGTGCACTGTACGCCTTTTGTTGTCATCCGACAGTGCGATAAGAAACCCATGCCACACATCACAACGTATCACACGAAGAACACAAGGACAAGCATGACAACCAACAACAGTCAGCTAAACACAAGCCTCATAGTACTTAGACACCACATCAGGACAAGCCCCCGACAGCAGACAACGGAGAATGACTCATAAAGTACGTACCGCATGGACGTTCATGGTGAGACAGCTCAAAGCAAAGTACGTTATTCAATGTGAATGTTCAATATTTTTGCGCAGACTGACACAGAACCTCAAAAGTAGACCATTGGAAGAGATTGGAAGAGCATTTTCCTCTACAAGACTAGTGTTTTCCGGTTCTATCTTAGTCTGCGTCCGTGTGTATAGAACCCAGCACTGACCATTGGGGAGTCTAACTTGCCCCGTTTGATCTCAGCCAGGGCTGGATTTGTGCTGTCCGGACCGGGAGGGAGAAGCTTGGCGATTTGATGTGATTTGAATTGTGCTTCTCCAGGTCTTGAGAACCAAAGGAAGTGAGATGGGTCGCGTGTTTGAACAGAAGAGATTCAAGAGGGGTGGATAGTGACCTGAAAAAAAGACACACTACTGGGGTACCAAATGGAATAATAGTTTTGTTCGGGTTCTTCAACCTTTGTTGGGTTAAATCAGAGTTTCTTGGCCTTTGGGAGACAGTTCAGGATCCAAATCCATCACGCGAGCAGAACAGATCTCGATGTGACACGTGATTCAAGCTGTGCACGACAACTGCCGAACCATGCTGAAAGAGAATACCTCCGGATCACATGCGGAACGCAAGAAGAACGGCGGGAAACGGCGTTCCGCACAGGGTTTGTCAGTCTTTTTGTCCCCCTTAGATCAAGGTCTTGCTCAAGGGTGCCACTTCACAATCCATTGGGGATTCTCTGAGGGGTGCTTTGGAACCAGGTCTTCCTGTTTCCAACGTGGGGAATGCCCCCAGCCCAACTCTGTGTTCGGCAGACAGTCCGCATTTTTTAGAGGGAGATCCGAGATCCGATTCGCGTTAAGGAGATGCTTGGCTGCTGCCATTACCAGCATGGAATCCAGGCACTCTGAAAACTCGAGAGATCTCGGGGGGGAAACGGACCATTTGGGCATATTTGCCCAATGAGACCATTCCTTGATTTTCCATTTGGACCTTCCTGGACAGAATCGATTGACTTCGCCACTTGGTGTTCCAAACGACGGAGTGCTCCTTCAACGGACGGACCTTGCGGAGCCTTCAGACCGTCGTGCCATCGACGGTCTGGCAGAGCTGAGGACACCTATAAGAATGTAAGAACCACTAGGCATCACCAGGCGAGAGTGAGTTCGAGTTTCAGAGGTGAACTTGGACGAGTGATGGAGCGGAGATGATTATTGATGATTCTTGCAAAAATGATGAATTTAAAAAGACCGTTGCTGCTAATGTATGATATATATATAACTATGACTATGACTATGATGTTGCATCATACGCCGGGCACTGACAAGACAAGCACAGCAGCAAAGCTACCAAGGTTTGGAACTGTTCTATCATTTCTTCCAGACATTTTTCAAAAGAGGCTGTGCCTTTGCTCGTGTTGGCACCCTCCTTGAGTTACCATTAAATCAAGGAAATCCTATAGCTAGGACATCAAAACAAGACCAACATACTCTCCCTGGAACTAACATGGAAGTGGAGAATGGCCCCTTGGAAGACAATTTTCCACTACAAACAGGTGGTTTTCCACTTCCATGTTAGTTCCAGGGAGTATATGTCTGTCTAAAATCCTACAGCACAACAGCTACCGGTGGAGTCCAGGTGCTCCATCTGTGGAGTCCGGGGCCCAGCCCTCGAGTTGTCCTGCAATCGATGCGACGAGGTGGGTGGCTACGTGACGGCGAGTCTCGTGTTGTTACTTGGTGGCAGCGGGTGGCAGCTCGGAACCGGTAGCTATACTCCCTGACTCTCATGGAATCAAGTGGATGGCACGGCCCCGAGTTCGGAAGACCATGAGTTTTCCAATGACCAAACAGGTGGTGAACCCTACTTTCATTATAATTGCAGGGAGTGTAGATTGTTCCAGGGTTGTTCCGGGAACTCATCGAGTGTTGTCCTGGCTTGACAAAAAAGACCTCTTCCACATTTGCCGATCTCCTTTTTGTATCTCTGTTGCGAGAACGATCATCGAGAATGATGTGATTAAATGTGCAGGAACCTGATGCTATAGGCGTAGGCGTATGCACCACACCTTCACATGCTGGTTCAGTGCTTCGTAGACCCTCTGATTCCATGCGTGTCTTCAGCGGCAGCGGATCGTCCGAGGAACCTTCGGCCTCAGCAGGTATCCGGGTGACAAAACCCCTAGGGATCCGTTCTCGTACCGAACCTATCCGAACCTCAGCGTTCGGTACGACTGGACCCTGAAAACCATAAGAGTGTCGAACACATCACTGTACCTGAGGGAGAAGGTACGACTGGATCCCAACCGGGCAGGTTACGACCTTCTCAGGCTTCGTGTGAGTGGCGTCGTCTCAGCCTCGTGTCATCTGAAGAGACAACAATGACCCGAATCGGTCGAGGGAGGACTTCGGCCCTCTTAGAGGGGATAGTGTTGACGCAAGTGGACGTCAACGGGGTGGTTGGTGGAGGCCAAAACACGGGCTGCTGTGCAGGATGAGCTGCACGGTTCCGTGTCAAGGCTGTCCAATTATTGTAGACTACTGCAGTGATTTGATGTGGTTTGATTTGCATGATGCATGATGATGCACGTGAGTTCGACTATGGACATTTCATGTTTAAGTCCATTTGGACCTGTCTTCTGAGGCTGCTTGCCCTATCCATGAATCTTGGCCAGAAGGATACGAGGTTTGTGGTCTGTGTAGCTTCAGGGTTCACACACGGAAGCGGAATCATAACCAACCCTCCAAACAAATATATATATAGTTGTTCCAGTATTGCACAGTACGTTGCAATAAGGACTGGCTCATTGAAACCACTAAAGTGTTCATTTTTGGTTTTAGAGTCGCGGGTGGGTCTTTTGTGGGTGTGGACCTGGTCGTTGGTCAAATGCCGCAGCAACAACAACAACAACAACAAGAGGAACAACAAGCAGATGATCACAACAGCCCTTACGTGATATATGTATATAATTGTATATATATATATATAGATATGAGGCATGCTGCATGCTTAAAAAAAATGTAGCAGCTCTTTTTGGATGTCCTGCTGATTTTGTGGAAGTGCTCAGGGGACTCACCTATATGTTTGTGACTTACCCATGTGAGCCTGCTTAGAACATCTTACCGCAACAACAAAAAAGACTCGCACTGGGGATGCCTCGGGAAACCTTTCCCCCATTGCCAATGCGTAGGAACCACGTGCAAACACTGTCAAACGAGAGCAAGGGGGCTCACGAAAGGGGTGAGAAGGCGAGAAGAGGTAAAACGTGGCTCACCGTGGCTCATGATATATGTCACAATGTCAGGCCAATTCGACGGCGAACTTTAGCTGCGGACTTGAGCGGGTCCTTTCCAGGTCCGCCCGGCCGCACTGCCCATGCTTGGGTCCTTTTCTTGAACCCCATGCTTCGAGATGTCCCAGCCTTTCACGCAGTCCGCGCATCCCGGAACCCGGTCGGGTGGCTCCGCTCACCCCGCGAGCCCGCTCGGAGATCTGCGGAAAACCCTTTCGTCGTGCGCTGCGCCGCGTTCCCGAACGGCGCGTTCCCGCCAAGGTATTGCAATTGTCGAACGTGCGGCGGCTGGGCGAAATCCTGGACACGCAGACAGTCCTTGGCGAAGAAATCCATTCAACTGAGAACTGAGAAGCTTTGTTGTTTGGGAGGACCAGGGAAGAGGCCCCATGGTCCCACACGATGCCACACGATGCCAACCAGACTGGACCGGGAGGCGATGCGTTGAAAAACGCGGTAAACGGTTTGGACGTTGTTTTGGACGTGGTCAGGGCCGAGTGGAGGTGCATGAGAACCCAAGCAAGAAGCAACAATAGGGGACTATTTGGCGCTAGAGTAAAAAAAAAACTTTTGCAATATAGCTTTACTGTTGTAAATCCTCAAAAAGGACTGATCCTCCTGTCACCAACTCCCAAATTCGGAACTATGTACAGCTGGGTGTAGTGGACGCCTTTCCTGTGCTCCTGTCGTCGACTAACCGACTGTGACGTGTAACCAGTGACCTTCGTCCAACCTCTCATGCAATTGCACTATTTAAGTGGCTGTACGTGGTTCAAAACTGGAGACCTTGGTTGAGTACCCCAAATAAGAAGCGTCAACCAGGGATGGTGGATGGTCAAACTACATGGTTTGTGGGTGTCCTGGCCCATATCCATTTCATTTCTGAGCTTTAGCATGTCATTCCTGTCCTTTCGCTGGTTGAAAAGACACAAGCTGCC